TTTTCCAACCCAGCATCATGGAAAAACGTGTAAGCAAAAACGTGAAATCTACGAGAGTCAAAACATGAAGTGGACATGAAAATGGACACGGTGGACCAGCGTGTTTATTACACGCTTTGATATCAGGTTGCATCTTCATGCTTTCATTAAGGGTAAATTGCATCCATGGTCAATTTTAGAATTGCCAGTTAAACTCACATATCTTTTTACTGTGGGACGAAGCCAGAAAGATTAGAATCTGACAACACTGACGTACAGCAGGAACACATTTGCAGGAACCTGCTTGCTGTAAAGTGACAGTACTGACCTCGGCACACAATCAGTTGAGGAGACAGGAAAGATGCATCTGTACAGGCTTTAGCGTTTTTATGCACTGGGTAAGTGGCACGAAAAGGTTTTATAATCCAAACAGCTACAGCCCCTGAGTATACATCCATGTGCTTTTTCCTACAAACACGTTATGCAATGCCAAAATTGCATTTGGTCATAATGTCGAAAGTTGCAACATTACCAACTTGTGACATTGCGACAACTCTTCTCTGCGGTCACAAAAAAACATCCAGACAGCATGGAGACTTGGACATTTACGAGGCTCCAGTTTGTGGTGCTGCTGAACGATGCTGTGTTTCTAATATTTACTCTACCCTGACTGATTTAAATGGAGCAGACAAAATGTATAAACCTCGACAGTGGTATAACTAAAGCTGCCAAAATGACCATAAAGGTGAATAAATATTTCTCTACAAGAGAATCAACACCAGCTGAACGTCATAATCTTCAAAATGTTACAGTTTAATTCTAGATTCACAACCAAGCTGTGCAATAACTATAATAACGCTTCCATTTAGTTTGTGCATGGTGTCATTGGTTTACACAATGATAAGAATGATAAGAAAGAGAAACAGGCAATAGAATTACATGAATCATGATTTATGTACAGGATAAAAATCAACACCTTGACATCCTCTCTGAGATCACACTGCGTCCCGACAAGAACCAGTGGCGCAAAGGGAGCGTGTTTCCGAATCTCTGGTACCCACTTCTCAGGAACGTTCTGAAATGAGGCAGGGCTGACGACGCTGAAGCACAGCAGGAACACATCTGCACTGGTGTAACACAGAGGGCGCAGCTTGTCGAACTCATCCTGGAAAGGTTGTGAGAGATCGAGAGTGTTCACACAGAGATACTGTGATTCATCACTGTCTACCTCTGCTTCAAGGCAGTGGTTCTTAAACTAAAGGGTGGGCCCCACTGCAGGTGGGATGATGAGGGCTAGGAGTAACACTATGTTCAATTAATGTGATTTTATTTTAAATATATAGCATACTTAAGCTATTATGCTAACCTTTAGTTTATTAAAATTCACCTCAGATCCCTTTTTATTGTTCATGATAGATAATAATTGGTAGAAGAGTGTGAACTTTATTTCTGCTTCTGGGGTGAAGCGTATCAGAAAAAGTTTGAGAAGCACATTTTATCAAAACCTAAAAATTGTCTTTCTGTTTTTCCTTGATCTCCAACTTTATCTTTCCTCTCTCATTCAATGTTCCACTGTTTTTGAGGTCAGCTGATCATTGTAGTGATAATCTACCATATTATCCCAACAGTGCACTTTTCTCTGGAAATGCTGGTTTAACGTTAGTTTCTTGAGTTTCCAGAAGTAGAATGGGAGGAGCAATCAGCTATCAAGACCCTCTTCTGTTGGATTTATGAAACAAGCCCTGTCTCTAAAATTAGATTAAGCTTCAAGCTTTTATTTTT